GGGCTGGCCCCGATCTCTCTGCAAGGGGAGGGCTGGATGCACCGGGGAGCTGCTCCCTGCTTTGCCTGCTGGCTCTCTCCAGGGGGAAGCAGGTCCCGTGGGTCCCCCCTGCCGTGGGGCGAGTGGCTTGGCCTAAAGCACAGCTAGAGACGGAGCAAAAAGGCTGTGTCCTGGGCTGCCGTTTCCTTGCAGTGCCCAAGCCGGGGTGGAAAGGTGGGGAGATCTCAGAGCCGGGGTAGGAGGAAAGGAAGGTCTGTCCCGCTCCTCTTTGGGTGTTTTGCTGCTGAGCCACCCCTCTGCTGTGTTTAATATAAAAAAAGGACAAAAAGGGGAATAAAAGTGGAGTAACAAGGTCCAAGACCTCAGGGGAGTGGTTTCCCTCTGAGCCCACCTTGCTGCCAGCACCCCTGGCAGCACCCACTGGGGACCCAGCACCCCCTCCTCCATCTACACCACCCCTTACACCCTCCCACCTTCTGACCCCCCCAGCAGAGCTTTCTGCTAAGCTTTTGTCCCATTTCTGGATGATTTTGCAGCAGCAGCTCCTGCCTCCCCAGGAGAAGGGGCTCCCACTGCTGGCTGCGAGGGCATCGCCTTTGGCAGCTGAGATGGATTGAGTTCCCTTTCAGGCTGCCATGGAAGGGTTAAAAGGAAAAGAAAAGGCTCTAACCAGACAAAAATAGGGAGAAATCTTTGAGAGGAGAGAAGGAGGAGCAGAGAGAGGGAGAGAAGAAAGGAGGTGGAAGTGGAGGAGGACAGCAAGTGGCGGAGTGAGGAAGAAGAGGGGGAGGAGGAGAAAGGTCTAATGGCTTTTCCATTAATTGCACCATTACCCACCTTCATCCCCACCTTGCATCCCCGCATCCAGTCTCCCACACCTGTGTGGCCCAGCCAGAGCAGACCCTGTGGCCCTGGGGGCCCGATTTCCACTCACAGGCATGGGGACAGGGCCATGGTTCCCAAGGGCTGGTGGCTTCCAGACCCACCCTGGCCATGCCACCGCGCAGGCAAAGCACACTGGGCACCCTCACTTGGGGTGAGGGCGATGCATGTGCGCGATCTGTGCCCTGGGGACGTGATGGTCCCCAAAACACCTCCCTGTCCGTGCATGTCTCCTTCCCATCCCACTCCCACACCAAAGGGGGCTTCATTCACCATCCCCCGGGCCATGCTGGGAGGCGGGGGGCTGCTGCGGGGGCTGGTGCAGCCGGGTGCTCGGGGGAGCGCTCTCCTCCTCTGGCTTTTTGCTGCCAGCCCGCAGCAGCCCCTCAGAGCCGAAGGGTGAGAGGAAGAGCCCTGCAGGCGGGAGCCCCCCCACACCAGAGACCCACGGATGCCCGTGGGTGGCTGCGCACCCCCGCCTCGCTCCCGCCTGCACTAATGTACGTGTCCCCGTGGGCGCCGCAGTGTGACCTGCCCCCCCTTTCCCAGGCCCACCCCCACGCTGGCACGCGTGTTCAGCCCCTCACGCGTGACTGCGTGCTCCCATAGCCGGGAGCAGGGATCTGCCCCTTCCTCCCCCTGACCCCCACGCCCTGAACCCTGAACCCCTTGCCCGGGGCAGGGGGTGATGGCAAAGCCCCCCACGGGGACCCTGCCTCCCTCCCCAGATTTCTCCAGCTTGGCAGAGACGCGGCTCTCCAGGAAGGGCTTCTCCCTCCCTGCCCTCCTCTCTATTTAGTTTTTTTCCCCTTTCCTCAGCATTTTTCCCTCTCTGAGGGTGAGGGGGTGTCAGGCTTCTGGGTGCTGAACACGCTCTGCTTTGCCGATGATGTTTTCCCAAGCAGGAACCACTGCATGATTCCGCTCCCCAGTGCCTGGGGACAACCCAAGGGGAGCAGGAGCTCTGGATGGGACCTTCCCCCTCCGGGCTGGGGGCTCTCCCACCAGCTCCCGGGGAGCGCAGCAGTCCCAGCTCTCTCCCAGGGCCTCAGGATCCTCTTTGGGTGTCTCTCCTTCACCAATGTCTCTGTTCCTGGCCACGCCAAGATTTGCTCCTGCAGGGCTTTGGAGAGCCAAGCTGCTCTCTTGCTGCCATGCTGGGGTCTGGCCACCTGATGGAGACCTTCATCCCCAGCGGCTCCTCTCCATCACCTGGCTGCCTCTCCAGAAATGCCTCCTGCTCTCCCCACGCCTGCTCCAGCTCTACTTGCAGATATTTAGTTTCTGCATCCCGGCATGGGACTGCCCCAGGATGGGCATCTGAGGTCTGATGCCAAACCCCAAATGCACTGGATGGGCAGCTGCCCCACGGGGCTCAGGAAGGACCAGCGTGTCCCCGGGGGGCTGCGGCAGGTCCCCCCTCCTCCCAGGGGACGGGGCTTGCATGGGCCTTGGGGAGCTTGCAGCAGTGCCACACGTGCAAAACCAGCGGGGCTGCCAATTACATATTGCAGAGATCCCAAAATTACTGGGACAGTTTCGCACACAAGCTGGGGTCTGGGGGATGCTCAGTTGCTGTCCTCTGGGAAGCTGAATTTGGGGTTATTTTAAGATAAGGTTTATAAATACCATGGTAAGGAGGGCTGATTTACATTTAGGGTTGTGTTTGCAAACGTGCCCTGTCCCTGCGGGCCCCAGCGCTCGCTCCTGCGGCCACACAAAACTGCTTTTGGCTGGGATGGGGTGTTCTCAGGGCTACCCTTTCCCTGACATCAGGGTGTCCCCAGGCCACCCTTTCCCCGACACCAGGGTCCGTGGGCCACCCTCCTGCAGACATGGCCGTGGATCGTGGGGACCCCCAGCAGGCGCCATGCGGCCCCCTGAGGCCATCGCGCACCGGCTCTGCCAGGGGAGAAACCTCTGCAAAACCGCACGTCCTCGGACCCCTGGAAGGAGAAAGAGCATGACTGCCTGGCATGAGATACCTTGGTCCAGAGCACCCTCTCCCCGGGATGAGGTGCTCAGGGTGTCCCGCCACCCTTCCACCATGGCAGTTTGCTGAGATATCCATCCCCTTTCCTGCCACTGGGCTTCTTCCCTTCCGTCTCTCAGGTGGAAGATTCCTGTGGGGCTGGAGAAGCTCCCAGGTATCCCCAGTCCTGCCTGACCCATCCCATCCTCATCTTCATCCTGTCCCCCCATCTCCATCCCATCCCAACTCCACCCATCCTCATCCCCATCTCCATCCTCATCCTATCCCCCCTCCCCATCTCTATCCCATCCCAACTCCACCATCTCCATCCCATCCCCATTCCGACTCCCTCCAGCCATCAGATTGGAGGCAGCCAGTCCATCCCGACGGAGGAGAGGCAGACACTACCTCTCCATCCCACCCTGCTCTCGCCTCCCCCCCAGCCCAGAGCCCCAGTGGCCCCAGACACATCCCCCTGCCCCGTCCCCTCCGCAGGGCCCCATCCTGCACCCAGCTCCTGCCCGGTGCTGGGAGCAGCCTTGGGCTTGCGCGGCTCTTTGAAGGGAGGTTGGGAAGGAGGGGAGCGCTCAGCCTGTCTGTGCACCCTCCTGGGTGCAGCATCAGGGCCGGGCAGGGAGCAACACCGCCAGCTCAGCAGCATCTCACGGGCTGCATTAACCCCACGGCAGCCAGAGCGCACAGGCACTCCCAAGGGGCTTGAACTGTGTGAAACATGGGATTTTGGCACATCGCTGCATTTTTCCCCACAGAGACCATTAATGAGGGATGGGGAGCCCGTGCAGCGGCCACCACCCACCCCTTCCCACCCCAAGGTTCAGATACAGCAGGACTGGAAACGCGGTGAAGGACAACTGCTGTCCCCAGGCTGGAGGCTCTGAGCTCTCCATGCACCCAGAGATGCTCCTGCCTACTTTTCCTCTTGCTTTTGGGGGACTAAGACTTTCCTTCAACTGTTTCTTTTTGTAAAAATTCAGAATGCAACTTTTTTTAATTAAAAAAAAGAACACAGACCCAATGCTATGGCTAGGCTGACTGTGCAAACCCAGCATCGGCCCAGCAGATCAGAAACTGGAAAAGAAGCAAGACCAGACGAACCTTTTCTTGGGGCTATTAGTAAAACTGAAGGGAGAAAAATCAAACATGTTTTCATGGAAATTTCCATTTTTGAAGAAAAAAAAAATTAAAAGAAGGACTAAACTTGGATGCGTTTATATAAATATGGAAATGAAAGCTGTTTCCCGAGCCTTGTCGCCGCCCCACGGCCAGCCCTGCTCTCCCGCTCCCTCCGGCACTGGTTTCCCCTCTGCCGAGACTCATGCCTGAGCCCCCCGCAGCCTTCACCCCCTGCCTTCCTCCGGTGCTGGCTCAGCCTGCAGCGGCCTCCTCTTCTTCAGCAAAGTGTTGCTTTATATTCAGCAACCGGTTGGCTTTGCCAAATGGCAGCCAGTGCCGCAGTCCTGCTGCCGACGGGCATGCTGGCAGTGCGCATCCCGGGGGACCAGGCTGGCTGGTTGAGGTAGTTCGAGGATGTGCAGCATCCTCCCGGGGCTCACCTCGGCCAGGGTGATGCTGCGGGGCCCGGTCCCCATGGAGCGACGTGC